AATGTATAAAAAGAGAAGATCGCTAAAAAAATTATACATGATTTTCGTTTTCTGTTGTTGACATAATATGATCACTAACTGGCTTATTTAACCATTCATCTTTGCTTAAATCGTCAAGTTAGTGTATTGAACTAATTAAACATTTAGTTGCTGTCAACGTATCAACTTGAGCTAAATTCTATGTAGAGGAAACAAATCATTAATTTTTAATAACACAGTAATAACATACTTTAATAATCTCAAGTGCTCTGTAAAACAATTTCATATTACTATAATGAATAATTGAAATGGTAAATGTTTTATGGTGATGAACATGTAACAGTTACCTAACTTTGACATGAATCATAATATTTTGATGTACTTTTCCCTTCAATATATGTGCTCCCGTTAATATTGTGTTCAATGCTAATTTTAATATTGTTTCCGCAAAACATTTTTGAATTGTTTTATCAACTACACTAACGTTTTCATCTACTGTATTGAGGTTGAAATCAATCAATTGACATTTTCATTCTAAAAAGAAATTAAGCAGCATTATGGAATCAAAATATACTTGCTGAAGAGTTTGTCTATATACTTTTGAATTAGACACTGACGATAGTAAATTAATCCAAGCAACATGTTGATTATGCTCCAATAATGTATGTGTTAATGTGTGATCATAAGGTGGTGAAAAGTATACACAATGATAAGAATTCATATTATCAGGTACAAAACAGTTTAATACACACCCTCATTAATGAAGATAATTGAACTAGATGATGGTAACTGTCGAAAACATTGATTAAGATGTTCCGGTATTGAGGTAGAAAGAATTAAAGAATTCTAAGACAACATATATATATATATTATTACTTATTTTACCGTTCATCGATGTAAGTTGCTTCTCATATAAAGTGAGATGCAAATGTAGGAAAGTGGTCGAAATTTACGACAAAAAACGCTACAAAGTAGGCTTATATAAGCCTTCGAAAGCCTCACTTCTCTGTGTTTTGAGGCCGCATAATGCGTTCAGAGACGTTTTTTAGAAGATTCGTGATTTAACGCATTGAGCACCTTGGAAGGCGATATTGGATCTGCAGGTTGTGGTACCATTTTGATTCTTTTAGGACATTAGCGGGTACATAATGAAAAAATCAAGCAAAATTTCGATTTACTATTACATTGCTTGATAAAGCCTATCCAGTTGATTATGAGAATGTATTCTAATTTTTCGAAAACTCGACAAGGCATTACTGAATGAAGCAGCGAGTATTGGTTAAAAAATATAATTAAAAAACAGCTTTGGAAAGGTTAGAAGAACAAGGAAGACGTAAATTTGGACTTTGTTGAGATTAAATGACTTTTCAACTTTTTATGACCGTCAAGTACTTTCGATTTTTCGACACGAAAAAATTTTTCACAAAAATTATAGAATACACCCAGGCCAAAAAACGTCGTTAGAAACGGCACGAAGAATGCGTTCTTTTCGAATGATCGTTAAAAGAGCCGTTTAAACGCTTTTTTTGTGGTTCAAAACTTTAGAATAACGCGTTTGCTAACGATCGTTAAATTAACCGTTTTCTAAAAAGCTAGTCACCTAGAGACGTGTGACACATATGCTCGTGGGAAAATTTTAGAAATAGACCTAGAGTTGACGTGCAAGGAGAAAGTGACTTTTTTGTTTTCTTGGAAAGGGAAATTCTCCATGACATCTTATGTATTCGTATACATACATCAAAAGAAACCGATAATATTTCGAAAGGTCATTAAAATAAATCCCGCGGCAGAGGGAACAGCAAGAATTCTGAAAGACTTGTGGTGGCTAGAGATTGAAGTTTTTTAGAATAAGAAAAGTAGAGTCTAATCTTGAGTTTCTCTAGTTTTCTCTTCAAATCAATCGTCGAATAGGCTCGATCCATCTAAAACCTACCACGATTTACATTAACCTTTGGCGTTAGTGACCAGACCTGTCTCCTATGATAGAGCCAGCGAGCTGGACCGAATGACGAAAACCGCAAGTCTCTAGCCTTGTTAGAAAAAAAGTTATAGCCATTTTACTGTCGCAGCGGGAAAATGCATTTTCTGAAGGATGTGGCCTAATTTATAGATTCTGCTAACCACATTTCCTAATGCAATAACTATTTATATTATTATTTTCACCATTCGGTTCAGCTTGCTGAGCTCTATATTATGAGACAGGTCTGGTCACTAACGTCAAAGGTCGATGTAAATGGTGGTAGGTTTCAGGTGGATCGAGCCTATCCAGCAATTGATTTGAAGAGAAAACTAGAGAAACTCAAAATTAAACTCTACTTTTCTTATCCTAAAAAACTTCAATCTCTAGTCACCATAAGTCTAAAACCTCAAGATCGCTCTGTAGTTTATCAAATGGATTGTAAATGTGGTTCAGTTTATAATGGTGGAACCAAAGTAGGTCAACAAGAATGGTGCTGATAGGTGTATATGTGCTAGTACTAGTATCAACTCGTACTTTTATGGCAGAACCATTTTAAACTGAAATAAAATTACAGTAAAGCCACCAAAAGCTAGGGTATCAACTTTTCAGACTGATATGTGTATGATGAACTCTACAAAATAATCACTATCTTTAAGACTACTCTGCAACTTTAATATTGTAAGTCTATTTAATTTACTCGTGCAATAACAATAAAATCTTGCCCTTTTAAGGGAACTAGCCAAGCCTGACATTGTTTTTTGTTTAAAATCTTCTTTTGTTATGACTGGACGAATTCTATTCTATTACATAACGAAATTGTTTCCTTAATTTTGTTATTCTTTTCTCACTTTTCTTTTTTTTCTTTCAGTCTTCCGTTATAACGTGTTTATATATCTAACACTATATTCGCAATGTCGTTGTCACTATGATTTAGTGGTATAGATGAGATATATGTGCAATGGTAATTTTTTTGTTACGTCTGTTTTGCCAATACAGAAAAGCATGAATGAAGAAAGCTATCGTCAGATATGAATAACAAAGAAAGAATGAATCAGTTACTTACGCATGTTATCTCGTGCAAAGGATCTACTTATTAATATCGACACATCATTCTTCACTTCTATTCCTGTTGACACAGACGATAGGAAAATATGACTTCCACTGTTTTGTACATTGGTGCTGGTTGGGATATAGTTCCATTACTGTGCCAGTTTCCAAGCCATGTTAACGAGAACTTTACATCATTTTTATTTATCGATCAATTACCAAAATACGGTTACTGGGAACCATTTGGAGTTGGTTATGCATATAGTGGTGGTTGGGGCAATAACATGCGATTCCCATCTACGTTGAAAAATGTACTTGAACGTTATATTGGTATTGAATTTGAAGTACAAAATGGTGATAGGCTTGAATTTAAATTAAAAAATGGGAGGTCTCTCGTATATTGGATGAATACTGTTTATCCTCTAGTCAATCCAAACAGTTTGCTGCTAGAAGAAATCAAGAAAGTTCGTGGAATGTGGGTATGGGGTTTCGTAACAGATATGACGCAGTTATTTACACTTGCGCCTGATATTAAATATATTTTTAAACATCAAGCTGGACAGTCATTTAAAACACCGTATGCTATTGAAATACGTTATGTTACTTACGACGACCTTCGTCTCCCAATTCCTATGCCGTGGACTGAACAAGATGAAACAATCTTTCAAGAAAGAAACAGGTACTTATGTTACCGTACAGCATGTTCGTTTAGGGAGTTCTAGTCAAAAGAGAGTAAAGAACCAGACTAGTAAAGCTACAACTAAAGGGTTTATGCCGTTAGGATTTACTACATATACCCTCCAAACAGTAAGCACCCGATGTTTAGTCGAAAAATTGAGGGTTATTTAATTAACGCAAATCACTTGATTCTCTTTTAGTGCTACTGGCGGCAATTCCAACCGTAAAAACGCTGTACACCTAGCTCACGTGGAAATAAGGCGTCAGGATAGGCTAAAACTTCACAACGATCCTCCCCACGTAGAGTTTTTACCAGTTCCGCGTTGAAACATAATAACACCAGTGACAGATGATCCTCTATGATAATTGTTGTTGTTGTCTTATTTTTTATATGTCTACTTTTCGTGTGTTAATTTCTTTTGCAGTTTCTTTACATATTTGTTATTAAATTTATACTCAAAATTTTCACATTTTTTAATATCATTAAAATTTCTTATACAGGAGCAGCGAAAATTTCCCATACAATTGATAAAATTAGCTCTCTCAGCTGCCTAAGCATGAAAAAAAGTGTACAATTATACGAACAGATAGAGTCGTATAGATGGTTTCGTTAAAATGCTATGGTACCATTCCTCTGGCTAAAATGTGTCAAAAGCCTACAGACTCACTTGGATAAATTGAGAGTGGCTTCGTGAGACGCATTTACTTTTGAAAATACAATCGAAAATAAATACGTTTGGACGCATAGATGGAAATTGGTGGGTTCTATTCCGTCATTTGTGTAAATGTGATTATTTAATTGATCAAATTATTATGATGAAATTAAAACTCAGTGAATAGAAAAGTTATTACTTAGTTTACTGACGTTTGAAAATATTTTCAATGATGTAACATTTATAGCCTC